ACAGTGTGCTAGGTGTGCTACTGCAACTCCTTTTGATGTTGTGGAGGCAGCATCTTTACCCATGACTACGTCAGTCCAACACGCAGAATCACATACACTTTTACACAGGTTTGCACTTTAGCCAAGGGCAGAAATCCCATTATTTTTACTGATAGTTGATGTGCTTTTGGAGTACTTTTATGATTTCGGAATGTTCTGGAAGCAACATGGCTTCCTTATTTCCATCAGGAATAAAATTTAAAATGTCTTCTATGTCCAGGAATTATTGGATGCAATACTTTTACCTGGCACTTTAACTATTATTAAGATTCCGTGGCATTCTAAACTTGAGTCTCTGGAAGCTAAGGGAAACCACCTTGCTGGCATTTCCACAAGGAATGCTGCCTTTGAAGGAACCAATAACAGCCAAACCTCTGTCATGGTCCAAAGGGTTATTTCCCCAAATGATAATTTAGGAAAATCGGCTAGAGAAGCCCAACAAATGGCCTCAAAAAAGGAAAAACAAGATTGAAAATTCAAGAGTTGTTGGTTTCATAAAAAGAGAAAGCTCTGTTTTGGACCAAATAACAACCTAGTCCTACTGGAGCCTCTAAAATTCCCACTCCTCACCATTGCATCTGCACTAAACCATTGTTCTACTGACAAAAGGAGAGCCTTCATAAATCAGTATCGGTAGGGAAACACTAACAAGGCTGCAAAAAGTATCTATCTCCTTGTTCCACTTGTCTGAAATACAACTCAGGGATTCCTGTCCATACTGCTCCCAGACAGACATTTTAAACTGCTCAATGGACTATTCAAACTCTAGCGAATGGATTTCATATAGCTTCCATCATCTCATGGCTATAAATGTGTTTTTGTCATGGTCCATATGTTTTCACACTTAACTGAAGACTTCCCTTGCAGACAGGCAATTGTCTCTTCTAAAGTCCTTTTGGAAAAGTAACCTCAACCTGGAGAACTCTTCTCCAACTTCGTAGTGATGGAGGAACTCATTGGACACACTAACAGCACTATTAAGACTCAATTGGAAAAAAAATGTTTTTTGGCCTCCATATACCTTGGCCAAAAGCACTACAGTTGGTCTTTCTAAATCTAAGCTCTATGCCTTCTAGTTCGGAACTCATAAACTCTCACCATTTGAGAGAGTCACAGAACACCCAATGCAACTGGATCCTGCCTCTTTTGATTCGCCACTTATAAAAGGAGAGATACTCCATTATTACTTCTATGAAAAATAAGCATGTTTTGGTAGAGCAGTCTTTCCACAGGCACTCTTAGAAAAGACCTTATGCATCAGACCTTGAAACCTGGAGATTTTGCCTTTGGGTAAAAATACCTCCAGAAGACCTCACTGGGTAGGGCCTTTTAAGTACTACTAACCAACACTTGTGCCACCGAAGTCCAGGGAACAGACTCTCAGATTCACATGACACACTGAAGAAAGCACCAAACTCTGACTGGAACTGCAAATCATCTGTGACCTGAAAGTAAAGATTTTCCAGAATTGAAGCAGATGACATTTAATGAGACAGCTTTCCCAAGATATCCAGACTGGGCCTGTTGGAAGTTTGTTGCCAAACCTTTGATGAGGACTTAATACTTCAGATAATCTCCAACATCTATTATCTTGACAACATACGGACATTAGATAAGAACTGCTTCAGAGCTCTCCCTCAAACATGACCTCAGTAGGTTTCCAATCCTTGTGCTTTCCCTCCAAGATGAGACACTACACCCGGGAAAGGTCCTTCCCGGCACTGAGGGTCAAAATGCCACTGAAACTGGGAAACCTGACCCTCAATCAGTGATGCCTTCAGAGAAAGACCTTGATCAAAAGGGAAAACTGTAAAACATTAATAAGCAAAACCTCAGAGTTGGGAAACCAGGAGGAGAAGTTCTCATGGCCTGGGACAATAGCAGAGCCCAAGGATAAGAAAGAATCCTCTTTTTTCTTAGCAACAACCTCAGCCAGTGAAAAGCCATGGACTCTTTGTTCACTATAGCCCTCCCCACTTCCTTTTCCCCTCTGTAAGAGTTCTCCTTCCCTTCCTGTGCCAGGACTTGCATGTGGCTCACCATGGCTGCAGAGCACTAACTATAATTCTCTGCTGATCCCAGATAAACCTATTTTTGCTGGAGAAATAATGGGCAGTCTATTTGTTGTAGGTGAAAGACACACATATATAGCACATGGATGTATGAGTGTGAGTATATGTGATATAGTGTCTAACCCAGGTTCATCAGCTGTTCTATAATCTTCTATTCAAAGCATGGGAGTATAAATACTTTTCCCAGGTCATTTTCAATGGGAAGCAATGTGTTTTTCTGAAACAGGCCCTTGGCATCTTCCTAGTTATTGGAATAAAGACTTATTGTTACTTGCCCTTGAAAGAGAAACAACTATCTACTTCTACCACCAAAGTTAAAAGCAATATCAAGTTCACATGTTGCAACTAGCACCTTTCATCTAACTAGGTCAAAATTTTTAATCCAAAAGTGGATTGGGGATCTTGCAGCAAAGGCAGAGTGAAGAGGTCAGCAAATCTTCTCTCCAAAAAAACTATAAAACTGGGCAAAATTGTCCAAAACTACCAATTCAGGACTCTAGAAATCAACCAAAGGGCACCAACAAATTTAGAAATGTTTATTCATGAAAAACTGCTAAACCTTGGATAAGAATAGGGGCTCTGCGGCATTCTTGTCTGGAAGGAAATAATAAAGATCAGAGTGGAAATTAATGAAGTAAAACAAAAGATAGAAAAAAATCAATGAAAACTAAAAATTTTGTTTCTTTGAAAACATCAACAAATTGATAAATATATCAGTAAATTTATACTGACCCCCCCCCCCAAAAAAGAGAAAGAAAACACAAATTACCAGAATCAGGAATGAAACAAGAGACATCACTGCCAACTTTAGAGATACTAAGATGATTTATAATAGAATATTATGAATAACGTTATGCCAACAAATTAGATGATTTAGATGAAATGACAAATTCTTAGACATAATTACCAAAGTTGACTCATGAAGAAATAGAAACTCTGAACAGATCTAAAACAAGCAGAGGCACTGAAGTATTATCTAAAAATCTTCCCACAGAGGAAAGCCCAGGCCCGTGTAAATTTCATCAAATATTTTGAAAATAATACTAATCCACACAAATGTTATGAATGCCAGAAGTGATTACTAAAATATGCTCATTCATGAAATAAATCATGAATAAATCAACATAGGGAATCCAATCTGGCCTATCAATCATGAAAGTTCCAAAATACTTTTTAATCATAAGATGCTGTCTTGAATGTTGCTAATACTGTGCCAAAACCTTTATTATATACAGCTGGAGTCTTCAAGTTTAGCCAGTTTAGAATTCTTAACTGAGCACTGAAAGTCTGAAAAATAAAGTCTTGTAGAGCACTAACAAAACAAAAGCCATTATGAGGCTGGGCCTTGTCTTATGAGTCATTTCCACCAAGATCTGATTTATTCCTCCTCTCCTTAAGGTCATCAGTTACACTAGTACAACATTTATCAAATAGGAGCAGAATGTATTGTTAGGAACTTCAATCAGTTCAAGGATACCAGTAACAATGCTACAAACAAATCTGGAGCCCCAGTTATGAGAGTTAGAAAAGTCTTAACTATCATGTAAAGCATTGGTACTGTGTTTTACGAACAGGTTAAGTGACTCGTGAAATCACAAAAATAACGAGGGACTAGATCTTCCTTTAAATGTCTATTGTCCTGCAAACCTACAAGAAAACCAGCTTGAATTTGTCACCTTTTCTCCTCCATAGTCAAGTCTATGATCGTGATATAAGTACCAATAATTTGGGGGAGGGAAAAAAATATTCTGAGAAAGTAATTTTCCATGAAGTAGGTACAGGGAGTAAAGGTCGGATTGTTAAGGAAAATAAGTCAATTAATATAGACTAATTTACCTAAATGTTTGATAAGGAAGGGAAGCAGGGTCCAGAAAAGGTGATTTTAGCGACAAACATTGCTTTTGAGGTTTCTCTATCTAGTAGGTAGGAGGAGCGTAAGGAATCAGATAGAAAGGCAAACTCCTAAGGTGTAAACAGAATTAAAAATGAGGCTAGATCCTGGAGACACTCTGCATCACTATTTGTACACGTTTTTAATGTCCACAGGGCTTCACACACACACACAATCTTATCTCCCCCAGCTCTCTGTTAATACATCCTCTAATTCAGTGGTTCTCAAATGTGGTTCCTAGACCAGCTGCATCAAGTATCACAGGGAACTTGTTAGAAATGCGCATTCTTGGGTCCCACACCAGATCTACATAATCTCTGCGGGCGAGGCCCAGCAATGTGTTTTAAGAAGTCCTCCAGGGGATTCTGATGCTCTCCAAGTCCCCAGAAACACCGCACTCAAGAGGGAACTACAGAGACCACTGCCAGGATGGCAGCCACAGTCGGAGGGTCGAATTTCCTTCATACCCCTATCAGGATCTTCCTCGCTCCTAAAGGAAGGAGTGCACGACGCCACCCTGCCAGCACCGCAGAGCAACGTTGCCCTGCTTGGGACTTAGCCTGAGCAAGTACTGCCAATCCCGGCCGGAGTGGAAGCCAGGTATGGGACCCTTACCAAACTCGACCTCGGCCCAGGAAGGACCCGAGCTCCCCCGCCCTCGGGCTCCGACTTCCGGCGCTGGAAGAGGGGGGTCGGTGGGGAAGGGACTCGAGGCGGACGTGTCCAACTTCCTCGGCCCTGGCAGGGGTGGTGGGGAATATTCATTCTCCCAAACCCCTCCATGTGCTCGCTAAGAGGCTGGATGACACGGCGGTGGAAGAAAGATGGGTTAATCTAGGATAAGTGTTTGGGAAACCTGGAATCCAATAAGGGTATAAAGAAACCTTGAAAATCCTTCTCGTTTTCTTTGCCTCCTTTCCCACCCCAGGCCCCAAAACCGCGATCAGGGAGGGGTGGGGGAGGACACCGGAGGAAGAATTCTCGCGATAGGAGGCCGGCCGGGGCGGGGGCTTCACCTCTTCCCTCCTCCTCCGCCTCCTCGCGTTAGTTCCGGTCGCAGAGGAGACACTACCGCAGTTGCTGCCACCTCGGGGATTTCTGGCTCTTTTCTCTTCGCCTTAAATTCGGTAAGGCGCGGGATCCGCTGTCTTGGGCCGAGGTTGTGGTCCCTCGTCGCCGGGCAGAGGGTGAGGGAGGCGGCAGGTCTTGTGCGGCCCGGCTTGGGTAGGCCTGGGCGGAGGCCGCCGCAGGAGGCCAGGCCGGATCCGGGGCCTGGATTCCGGGGTCGGGGCTGTCGCCTCAGCTGGGAGGCAGAGGGGCGGCTGCCCGGGCCGGAACGTGGGGCCCGAGTGTGCCCCGGGGCGCCAGAGGCAGAGGCAGTGGGGGAGGCAGGCCCCTCTCCGGCCCTACCCGGCCTGGGTAACAAAGCCGCCGCGGCCTCTGTTGGGTGATGTACGCGTGGTGGGTTCCGGCGGGCGGGGCGGAGGAGCCGCCACCACCACTACGGCCGCCTCCACCGCCGCTGCTTTCGCTGGAGGGCGGGCGGAT